AGATTGGATCTTGATTCTACTGATGAGACACTATTGAGATGTTATATTGATGTTTAATTGTTTACTATGCTATGGTTTTAATTGTCCCTTCACTGTTTTTATGATGTTTAGCATTGAATTTTTGCTATTGTTAACCGCTTTGAGTCGCCTAAGGGCTGAGAAAAGCGATATACAAATGAAGTAAATAAATAAATAAATAAATAAATAAATACAAAGAGGCAGAGTATGGTGGCTGGGTTTACTTTAACTTAGTTCAGGATGGCATTTCCATGACTTCTATTCCATCTCCATATAGGAATTAGGAATTTCACATCTATTGTGGCTAGGATGGTGTTCTCTGGGATCTTGTGGATGGACTGCATTTTTCTCAGGAAATTAGTTGAATCTTTCATGTAGCTTGGATGGCATTTGGTCTAAGAAGTGAGTAAACTATATATGACTCAATAGAAAATTGAACTAAAACAATTGTAATACTCCTAGCCAGAAAGGCAACCCAAAATTTTCTTGATGATTTTCTCTCTCTAAGAGAGCATATCTGGAGAAGGGAGATTTATAAAAGAGCTTTAATGCAACATCATCTTCGGGAGAGTGGTTTTTATATGGTATTTTCTTCATTACTTTTGTAAAATGTGGATGAAATAATAAAATTTCCTTTCTTTATTTACATCCTCACTAACACATAAGAATTGTCCTGTATGTTAAGAAAGAAAGTTTTTGAGAAACTTTTTTAAAATAGAGGAACACATAGAGAATCTTTCTACGCATTTCACAGTCATGTTTCTAAAGGATAGTAGGGTGAAATGAGACATTACAAATGTCACATATTCATTTCCTCTCTCCACAATAAAGTGGGAGAGGGGTTTGTGCAATATTTGTAAAGAAAACACGACACATCAGCATCCTGCTACAAATGTTTAAAAGGAAGTTTCCTATTTTTTTTCCACAGTCAAATCAGTCTAATAACCAAAAGACAGGGATGAAAAAAGAAAGAGAGAGCATAAAAGTCAATGGCAAACCTCCTCTGAACAAATCCTGCCAAGAAAAACCCACAAAAGGTTATCCCTAGGGTCACAATAAGTCAGAAAGCACTTGAAGGCACCCAAGAACAACAAGGTTTGATTAAAGTCTTACTGTTCCAAATGACAGGGCAGAATATACTACTAAAGAGGAAAGTACAGTTAGAAGCTTCCTTTAAATCCGTGTTCCATATTCACGCAGTCACACATGGACAACACATAAGATAAACATGAAATGCATGTGTATTAGTAATAAAATAGCAAATGATGAAGCAAAATGAGGTTAAACCACTTTTTTGCCAAAATGATCTTCATTCTTGTACAACCCATACTGCATCTGTACATTCTCCTTGGAGGGCAAAGGTAACTTTAAGTGAAAGGAAATGCACGGAGATGGAAAAAGGATCAACACCCCTTCCCTAATGGCATGGGTTTTAAAAAAAATCAAGCTTATTCTACATCACATATGGGATCATTCCTTAATGACATGTTCTTCTTATTCATCTGTTTTCAATCGATTTTTATTAATAGTATTTTGCCACCATGAAACACTCATATCAAGATATTTGGATCATTCTTGACAGCTGCTTCATATAATTCAATGCAGCTCTTACTAGCAAATACATTTCTACTTTCATTTACTTTTAAATAATATTTTTCTGCCACCAATTACTTTTTTTTTGGCAGGAGAGGAACTGAATTGTTGAGAGAACACAAGGTGGCTGAGAGGTAGTGATGCCATAAAGTTAATAAAGCAACAACTTTATTTTTATACCATCTCCCCTAGGGGACTCGGGGCAGAAAGGACAAGCCCGAAGATTACAGATAAAACAAACACATTAAAATAAAATCAACAACAGCAAAAAATAAAAACAAATCACAATCACAAAGCAACATCATAAAAACAATATCTGGGTTCAGGGGCTTAAAATAAGTGCAATAGTTCCTAAATAGAGCTGAAGGAAAATGCAAAAATTCAAAAGAGCCGGGCTGGAAGGGTAATACCCTTAGCCATAAGGTGTCAAGGTTACCGGAAAGAGGGCCAACCTAAAGTGAAGGAGCTTAGATAAGGTTGGGCCAATTCTCTGGTGAGCTACCTAATCAAAGGCACAGCAGAACATCCAAGTTTTCAAGTCCTTCTAGAAAATGGACAAAGTGGGTGCCTGTCTGATCTCCCTAGGGAAAGAGTTCCAGAGCTGGGGTGATTATTACCATGGTGATAATTTTACAAACTGATTTGTTGCTGCATTATTGCTGGCCTAGGTTTCCTATCATTGAGACATAGCTTGCTGTTTTATTCTCTTGACTGGGAATATTTAGCAAAGTGGATTACCTTCAAATTGTATGCATATAATTGCATACCTTGCTGGGGGTCTATAGTTTCTCTATTGATTTGTCTTCTTTTTATAGATTATTTTTTCATTCCTATGAAGAAAAGCTTTGCACCACTTAGAAAGCACCACTCATTTCTAATCAAGGTAAACTTCTTCTGTCAAAACCATAATCCAAGAAGAAATTGGGTGGTACTAATAGGGAGGAAAGATGGAGAAAGAACAATCAAGGGTACACTATGAGGTCTGACCAAATAATATCAGTAAAACTCTAGGGAAATTATCTATACAATTGAAATTAACACTTATGATTTCCACCAGAAGAAGCAGATGAAGAAGAAATGGAATCATTCTACATTGGCATCCAGAAGGAAATTGATCATGCATCAAAACAGAACATAATTATAAATAACTGGAATGGGAGATATAATGCTAAACCAAACACTGTGAGAAAATGTATTGTCGAAGGCTTTCATGGCTGGAATCACTAGGTTCTTGTGGGTTTTTTCGGGCTATAGAGCCATGTTCTAGAGGCATTTCTCCTGACGTTTCGCCTGCATCTATGGCAAGCATCCTCAGAGGTGTGAGGTCTGTTGGAAGTAGGAAAAATGGGTTTATATATCTGTGGAATGACTGGGGTGGGGCAAGGAGCTCTTCCCTGCTGCAGTTAGGTGTGAATGTTTAGCTGATCACCTTCATTAGCATTTGAAGGCTTGCCTGAGCCTGGGAAAATCTGTTGCTGGGAGGTGTTAATCTGTGCCTGGTTTTTTCCTCTCTGTTGTTTCTCTGTTGTTTCAACAGGTTCCTGGACCATCTTAACAGCATCCACCCAAACATCCAGTTCACCATGGAAAAAGAAAATGAAGGAAGACTGCCTTTTCTAGATGTCCTAGTCATCCGCAAACCAGATCAACAATTGGGTCACACCGTCTACAGAAAACCCACACACACAGATAGATATCTACATAAAAACTTCAACCATCACCCAAGTCAAAAAAGAACACCATTAAAGCCTTGGCAGACCGTGCAAAAAGAATCTGCGAACCCCACCTCCTCCAAGATGAACTGAACCACCTCAACTGGGCTCTCCAGGCCAATGGATACTCCACCTCAGACATCAGAAGAGCTGCAAGACCAAGAACAAGCCACGAGAGTAAAGATGAAGATCCACCCAGAGGAAAAGTGTTCCTGCCATACATCAAGGGAACCACTGATCGCAGAGGGAAGCTGATGAGGAAACACAACATACAAACAATCTACAAACCCACCAAGAAAATCCAACAAATGCTACGTTCAGCAAAGGACAAGAGGGACCCTCTCACCTCTGCAGGAGTCTACCGTATACCATGCAGCTGTGGACAAGTCTACATAGGGACCACCAAACGCAGCGCCCAGACACGCATCAAGGAACATGAAAGGCACTGCAGACTACTTCAACCAGAGAAGTCAGCCATAGCAGAGCACCTGATGAACCAGCCTGGACACAGCATATTATTTGAGAACACAGAAATGCTGGACCACACCAAGAACCACCATGTCAGACTACACAGAGAAGCCATTGAAATCCACAAGCATGTGGACAATTTCAACAGAAAGGAAGAGACCATGAAAATGAACAAAATCTGGCTACCAGTATTAAAACTCTAAAATTATAACAGCTAAACAACAGAGAGGAAAAAACCAGGCACAGATTAACACCTCCCAGCAACAGATTTTCCCAGGCTCAGGCAGGCCTTCAAATGCTAATGAAGGTGATCAGCTAAACATTCACACCTAACTGCAGCAGGGAGAGCTCCTTGCCCCACCCCAGCCATTCCACAGATATATAAACCCATTTTTCCTACTTCCAACAGACCTCACACCTCTGAGGATGCCTGCCATAGATGCAGGCGAAACGTCAGGAGAAATGCCTCTAGAACATGGCTCTATAGCCCGAAAAAACCCACAAGAACCTACTGTGAGAAAATTTGGCCTATGATCAAGGAAGACATTTTTCTATTATACATTTGGGGAATACAGTAATTATGAGTACTCTTTTTAGAGAAGACTGAAGATTAGTAAGCCAATAGTGAGCTTCAGCTAATGTGCAGCTTCCATATTCTTCTCTCCTCTCCAGTGCAGCAATGAAGAGGTCACAAGCTTATGGCTCTATTTTACATAAACATTTAATATGTTTCCTAAATGCTGGGCTTCATTTAATCTCAAGTATTGTTTGAAAATGTATTGTCGAGGGCTTTCTTGGCTGGAATCACTGGGTTGTTGTAGGTTTTTTCAGGCTATATGGCCATGTTCTAGAGGCATTCTCTCCTGACGTTTCGCCTGCATCTATGGCAAGCATCCTCAGAGGTAGTGAGGTTACACTTTTCCCCCAGGTTGGGACTCAATGCAGATTTGGGTAAAATGTATGTAAAAAGGAAGCAAAAAACTCTGAATGACTTGCAGAATTTAACCTTAGGGCTTAACCAAAGGGCTCATTATCATAAAAAATTACAACACTAAACCATGGTTAAGGCAAGCTGTGGTGAAAACTTAGAAAATGAATTTTATTATCCCTCTTAACCTGTGGGGTGATACATTTGATATACTAAAAATAGATCTTCTTTGGACAAAACATTAGTTCTCAATTTGATATTCTATAATGGATGATACTTACTACTCCCCACCAAAGAGCGTCTGCATAGCTGCTAAATTCATGGTTTCCTGAATCATTCACAGCATCTTTTTCAGCCAAGTACACAAAGTAAGAAGAAAAAATCAGGCCTAGAAATCCAATGTACAGAGTGGTTATCAGTTCCTAAAAAGAAGAATAAGAACAAATAAATTGATGGTTTAGTACATGGGTCCTCCAACTTTTTAAGCAGAGGGCACCCTGAACATGAAATAAGAAAGAACAATAAAATATTTAAAATGAAGACAAGTTTTAACCAACATAAACTTATTAGTATTTTGATGGGAAATGTGGTCCTGTTTTTGGCTGATAAGATAGTAGTTAATTAGGGTTATTGTTGTGTGTATGTGCACATATATGTGACATTTTGCATATATAAAAAACATAAAATGAAAGCAAAGGTGAAAAGAAAACATGGTCAATAAGACGGAGAATTTTAAAAGCCAATAAATAAATGAAAAGAAATTTGGGGATATGGTGTTTAATTTCTTATCTTCTTTCTTGTGGGTTTCTATTCTTTGCAATCTCTTGATTCATTTATTTAATATGGGCTTCTATTTCTTTCTGCTTGTTGTTTCTTCTGTTAGTCTATGTAGTTTTTCTATCTTTTCTGTCTTTCTCTTTTTGTAAGTATTCCATCACTGGGTTCCAGTCTGTTTCTTTATTCCGTGGTCCTTGTTGTTTTGTCATTAAATATGTCAGTCTGTCCATATTTCTTATATCTAGGACTTTTGTCATCCACTGTTTAGTTGTTGATATTTCTTTTACTCTCCAGTTCCTCGTGTATACAATTTTTGCTGCTGTAATCAGGTAGTTCAGTAGTGTTTTTTTGTTTTTATCCATCTTTTTGTCCATTATTTCCAAGAGGTAGGATTCTGCTTTCAATTCTATATTTATGTTTAATATTTTCTCAGATTCCTTATGCATTTCTTTCCAATATTCTCTTGCTCTTTTGCATAGCCACCACATATGATAGAATGTGCCTCCTTGTGTTTCGCATTTCCAACATGTTGTATCTATATTCTGATAACATTTTTTCTAATTTATGGGGTATGATGTATTTGGATTTGATTAATATATTCCCTCTAGGAATCCCTAGGTCCTCTATGGTCAACTTCTGGTGAAGTTGCGCTTGAGGACTTAGAAATTTCTAGATATGTGTTATCTCAGGTTTTTAAAAGTGGCCTTTTTTATTCGCAGTCTTCTTGCTTTTTCAGGGGTCCACAATCCCAGCAAATGTGGAGGGCTAACAGTAGTTAAATCAGCATCCTGCTAATGAAGACCATCTCAATTTGCTCTTGACTGACACAAACGTCACCCCCCCCCCAAAAAAATAGAAGAAACATGCCAAATAAAGAGCTAGGGAAGGTGTTGCTCCCGTTCTGCATTACACAATGCTCCAGTTGGGACATCTGAATGATATGCATTATGCTCCTGTGCCAAAGCTGGGAGAGGGAGATTTCAGCCAGCACTTCAAGATCAATGTGACAATTTCGAGAATTATTTCTATTATTTCTGCTTCCCCTTTAAGGTTTTACGTACCTGTCTATGTATGAAAACTACTGATCCCAGCAATCGCCATGTGCCACCTTGTCGGTCTACGTGAAGCATACGCAGGATCTGAAGAAACCGAATGCCTCTAAAATAAAATTCATTAAAAGAAAAACAAACTTTAAAAGTAGAAAGGACTGAAAGCAGAACAGTGATTGTGGAGGAAGGGAATGGAGATAGAGAACTTTTATAAGGGATGAAATTAATAGAACTCTTAATGATATTTAGCATATTTACCTGATAGCAGAGGTGGCAAAAACTTGACCTTTAGAACCCACACAAAGCACTATCATCGAAGCAACGACTACAATTAGATCTGAAAGATTAAAAGGAATACTTGAATTATAAATTTCCTGCAAATTACATCATTTCTCTATATCTATATACTCTTTATGTTGGAACCAGCTTGCGCATATCCTAACATCTGTGCCCAAGAAGTCATCAATCTTTTTAAAAATAATTGAACTTTCTAAAATTAGTATTAATTTCTAGCAGCATTAAGGAACAAAACAAGCTGCATTTTAAAATATATATCTATAAATATAAAGGTCAAATTATGTATGTATGTATGTATGTATGTATGTGTGTGTGTATGTATGTATGTATGTATGTATGTATGTATGTATGTTTAACACAAAAGTTCCTACAGAGCTTGATGGAGCTGAACCAAAATTGGTGCACATACTCCTCATGATCCAACTTAAAATACTGGTAGGGTCTGGGGCTGATAGAGGATGAAGGGAGTTGTACTGCAACCACATTCAGAGAGCTTCAGGATTCCCACCCACAATGAATCTGGACAACACTTACACACATATCCTTCATGATCCCATTTAATATACTAGTGGGGTAGGGGGCTGACAGAGGATGATGGGAGTTGAAGTCTTGCCATATCAGGGTTCCCCCTTCCACGCGCACGCACACACACCTGCTTCCTACTGCAAGGAGGGAAACAGCTTGGTCATGGGCATATTTACAAAGGTTACAGTATGACCCCCTTATCCACAGAGGGCATGTTCCAAGATACCATAGAAATGCACTGGAGGACCTAGAGACACCAACAAACATTTCCAGGATGGAATACTTTTTGGAGCAAGGATAAGTGAAACCATGGCTATTGCATACTGGATCTGAGGATAAGGGAGTCCCTATTGTATTTGCATTTCTGAACAGGCAACAACCATCCATTTATTGGGAAAGCATGTTTGCAGGGCTCTGGTGAGTAGCAGGAACCTGCCATTTCCTGCCACCACATTTTTTTCTTCTTCCCAGGCTTGTGTGTTTTGTCTGGCTTTTGAGAAGTTCTGCAGTCCTTTTTCCAGGTAAGAGTGTAGTTACAAGCTTCACTTAGATTTGCATTCTGGCTTCCTCTGCCTTCCCACCAACCAACCCTAACATTTATGATTTGTAATACATGGAATGTTAATGTTATGCTTTTTGCTGCTTAGCCTTTGTCACAGTTTGGTCATGTGGGGCTGAATTAATGCTTTTGGGGAATTAGCATATCCTCTTTTGCTGGGGGTCATCTTAAGGGACTTTGGTGTTGATAGTTTGTCAGTCCTGCTTGGGGGTTCTTCAACAAGTGTGCCCCCCTCAGTTGGCAGGGAACCCCACAGTAGATTCATATGGATTCCATGACTGCCACTCCATGGTATCCCTCTGCCAACTGGGCCAGAGATCAATGGCACTGGGTAACAAGTGGGTTAGCCAGAAGAGATAAGGAACTATTTTTAAATAAGCAATGCATGGAAGTGGAAGAAGACAACAGAATAGGAAGGACAAGAGACCTCTTCCAGAAAATTAGAAACATTGGAGGTAAATTTCAGGCAAAAATTGGTATGATAAGAAACAAAGATGCAGGGACCTAACAGAAGCTGAAGAGATCAAGAGAAGGTGGCGAGACTATACAGAAGATCTGTATAGGAAGGATAATAATATTGAGGATAGTTTTGACGGTGTGGTGAATGAATTAGAACCAGACATCCTGAGGAGTGAGGTTGAATGGGCCTTAAGAAGCATTGCTAACAACAAGGCAGCAGGAGACACGGGATCCCAGCTGAACTGTTTAAACTTGAAAGATGATGCTGTCAAGGTGATGCATGCCATATGCCAAATATGGAAAGCACAAGAATGACCATCAGACTGGAAAAAATCAACTAATATCCCCATATCAAAAAAGGGAAATGTGAAAGACTGCTCAAACTTTCGTACAGTGGCCCTTATTTCTCATGCCAGTAAGGTAATGCTCAAGATCCTGCAAGGAAGACTCCAGCAATACATGGAGCGAGAGTTGCCAGATGTTCAAGCTGGGTTTAGAAAAGGCAGAGGAACGAGAGACCAGATTGCCATTATCCGCTGGATAATGGAGAAAGGCAGGGTGTTTCAGAAAAACATCTACTTCTGCTTCATTGACTATTCTAAAGCCTTTGACTGTGTGGATCATAATAAATTGTGGCAAGTTCTTAGTGGGATGGGCATCCCAAGCCACCTTGTCTCTCTCCTGAGGAATCTGTACAAGGACCAAGTAGCAACAGTCAGAACTGACCACGGAACAACAGACTGGTTCAAGATTGGGAAAGGCGTACGGCAAGGCTGCATACTCTCACCCAACCTTTTAACTTGTATGCAGAACACATCATGCGATGTGCGGCTTGATGAATGCAAGGCTGGGGTGAAAATTGCTGGAAGAAACATTAACAACCTCAGATATGCAGATGACACCACCCTGATGGCCGAAAGCGAGGAGGAGCTGAGGAGCCTTCTAATCAAGGTGAAAGAAGAAAGCGCAAAAGCCGGCTTGCAGCTAAACGTCAAAAAAACCAAGATTATGGCAACAAGAATGATTGACAACTGGAAAATAGAAGGAGAAACCGTGGAGGCCGTGACAGACTTTGTATTTCTAGGGGCAAAGATTACTGCAGATGCAGACTGTAGCCAGGAAATCAGAAGACGCTTACTTCTTGGGAGGAGAGCAATGTCCAGTCTCGATAAAATAGTGAAGAGTAGAGACATCAGACTGACAACAAAGATCCGCCTAGTCAAAGCCATGGTATTCCCTGTAGTCACCTACGGATGTGAGAGCTGGACCATAGGGAAGGCTGAGCGAAGGAAGATAGATGCTTTTGAACTGTGGTGTTGGAGGAAAGTTCTGAGAGTGCCTTGGACTGCGAGAAGATCCAACCAGTCCACACTTCAGGAAATAAAGCCTGACTGCTCATTGGAGGGAAGGATAGTAGAGGCCAAGATGAAGTACTTTGGCCACATCATGAGAAGACAGGAAAGCTTAGAGAAGACAATGATGCTGGGGAAAGTGGAAGGCAAAAGGAAGGGGGGCCGACCAAGGGCAAGATGGATGGATGGCATCCTTGAAGTGACTGGACTGACCTTGAGGGAGCTGGGGGTGGTAACGGCCGACAGGGAGCTCTGGCGTGGGCTGGTCCATGAGGTCACGAAGAGTCGGAGACGACTGAACGAATGAACAACAACAACAAGTGGGTTGTCCAGTCACTGAATCCAAACTTCATTCCAAGTCAACACTACACAGCTGCTATTAATTGTTGTTGTTGTTCATTTGTTCAGTCACTTCTGACTCTTCGTGACCTCATGGACCAGCCCATGCCAGAGCACCCTGTCAGCTGTCACCACCCCCAGCTCCTTCAAGGTCAAGCCAGTCTCTTCAAGGGTACCATTCATCCACCTTGTCCTTGGTCGGCCCCTCTTCCTTTTTTCCTTCCATTTTCCCCAGTGTAATTGTCTTCTCTAAGCTTTCCTGTCTTCTCATTATGTGGCCAAAATACTTCATCTTGTCCTCTAATATCCTTCCCTCCAATGAGCTGTCAGGTTTTATTTCCTGAAGTATGGACTGGTTGGGTCATCTCGCGGTCCAAGGCACTCTCAAAACTTTCCTCCAGCACCACAGTTCAAAAGCATCTATCTTTCTTCGCTCAGCCTTCCCTAAGGTCCAGCTCTCACATCCATAGGTTACTACGGGGAATACCATTGCTTTTACTATGCGGATCTTCGTTGCCACTGTGATGTCTCTACTCTTCACTATTTTATCAAGATTGGTCATTGCTCTCCTCCCATTAATAACATTTTAGCCTAAATTCATTTGTGTATGTTTCAGTTCTCTTTTATGCATGACAAGTTTTCTGTTAGAAATAATAGGAATAGTTGTGAGTACAAATTTCAGGGAAGAATTCAAATCTACTTTCTCTTCTTTTTCTCTCTTCAGATTCTTAAGAGCACAACATGTTACTCAATATAGAAAATCCTTTCCTTCTGCTTTTTTGGGAAGGAGGGAAATTATTCTGCTATTAAACTTCTCCACCTTCTATTTTCCCTTGAGTCACTCATGCTGACTGGAAGATTCTAGGAGTTGTTAGCAAAAACTTAATTTTCATGCTCTTCTCTATCCCACCCAAATACTTCTCAAGCCAAGCAGGTCACTGCAGTGACCATATAGTTGGCAGTCATCTTACTAGCTATCCTCTCCTTTGCTTCTCATCCCTGGGACAGGCTGCAACATTCTACATTCAGGAAAGCTTTGATCTCATCACCGTTGCTTTGCAAATACCATTAATAGGACACCCCTGTTGACCAAATTGTCATTATCCCTGACATGCTGGCTGTTCATATTTTTGCATATGCTTTGTAACACAGGAAAACCAAACTGTCAGCTGCCAAGATTTATGCTTGGATGAAATGTGATAAGAGAAAAAAGAAACACATAAGATCTGGAAAAATAACAATATTTATATTTGCTGGTGAAAGGGAGGAAGGCCCATAAAATGCTTGAACTGTTTTGTGCTTTAAGTATATTGTACAACTGAAAAAAATTGTCATTGAAACTGCATTTTTGCCAAGATCAACTCTTAAGTTCGGAATAAGGCTATCTGAACCTGATGAAATGTTGTGTTTCTGAAACAGAGTTTGCCAATGCATTACATGAACAATCCAAATGTATTACAGTTGTGAGCATTTACGTTTTGGGAAAGTGCTACTTTCTGGGCCACTTCTCTTCTACAGACCAGTTGCCCATGCTCTCTCAGAACCGAATCAGGTTTGAAATCGGAAATGGTTCTTATATTGGGCAGGACAAAGAATTTGTGTGGCCTTCCAGATGTTGTTGGCTCTTCACAATTGTACTGACTAGGACTAACGGTAGTTGCATTAAAACAACATTAGGGAAGATGCATGATTTCCACCTTGCTCTAACCACTATATTATAGTAAAGAGAGTTGGAGATCAGTGACAGTACTGGCAATACCGAAAAATGTAATCAGTTTCATCCAGCAGCCCAGATTGGAGCTACTCCCAGTCAGAGGAGGGGATTTCTTGGTGAATTGTGTCTATTTTCTTTCAAGCAATATATACCTCTTCATTCATTGTAACTCACTGGGTCACAAGAGAACTGTGCAGAAGCAATCTGGTATCTTGATAATACAAGAAATTAATCTTCTTTTTTAACATAACAGAAATAATGACATTAAAAACCAAACATACTCACCAATGATAGATATTGGCTTTCTAGCAAAGCGAAGCCTTCCCCATATACCAACATATTTACTGCGGCAACCCGAAGACCACAATCGAACCACATATTCCGTTCCAAAAAACACCACTAATACAATTTCCTAGAAAAAACAGATAGGGAGCCAGATTAATTTAACATGCTTTCAATACGCCTCAGTTCATATTTAGAGAAACTAAAATATCTTGGGAGTCATAAAGTACATTGCAAGGATCTATAGGAATAGATCAACTTATTACATGGAGACTGGGCAATTCACACATGATAAAAATAGAATAAAACTCCATGTTAGAATTTGCTAGTAATCTCATCTCCTCAGATACACATCAAAAGCTCACTTAGATGATATAATGTAGAACTGTAAAACAAAAATGTCAACGTTGTGTAAACGGAAACTTTATCCTGGAAAAGGTTATATCTCACACCTACAAGTTCTAATGAAGAAGTAGGAAGGGCTTGTTTACTACAGTAGAGTCTTACTTATCTGACATAAACAGGACAGCAGAATGTTGGATATGTGAAAATGTTGGATAATAAGGAGGGATTAAGGAAAAGCCTATTAAATGTCAAATTACATTATGATTTCACAAATTAAACATGAAAACATCATGTTTTTCAACAAATTGACAGAAAAAACAGTTCAATACATGGTAACATTATGTAATAATTACTATATTTAAAAATTTAGCACCAAAACATCACAACGTATTGAAACAGCTGTGGATCCGGGCAGGACACAGACTGTGTTGGATAATACAGAACATTGGAGGAATGAAGGTTGGATAAGCGAGACTCTGCTGTAATTGATTTTTTTTATTTGCAGTAAATCTTTGTTCTAAAAATCTATTTAGAAAAAATAATAAAAAAAATATATCACATCGCATAATAGTTTTGCATTCAGTAGGACATCTTGTTTCCTTAAATTACATTAATATTTTATTTAGCAAAATATTATCATAATGTGCTGTAATTTTAAAAATACTGAAGTATAGTACAATCCAAAATACACTTTTCTGGAAGTAAGTCCCTCTGAATTTAATAGGATTTCTTAATAGACATATATAGGATTATATGGTTAACAATATAATTTTATACATGAAAATATCAAGGTATATTCTTATCTTTCAATCAGTACAAATCAGCTGCATTAGGTCCCCCCCCCCCCAATGATCACATATTCTAGGGCCATGATGGTGAACCTATGACACTCATGTCATCACTGACATGCGTAGCCATTTTCGATGACATGTGGGCCACATGCTGTCACAAACAGAAAAGTATGGGGCCACGTGCCGAAAAGAACGTTTCATCCTTGTCTCCTACATTGCCAGGTGCAGTAGCCGAGGATGGCACATTTGCTGTGATGTGGTGTAAACGCTCTGTGCCAGAGGTCTGTAGGCCAAAACAACAGAACTGCAGAACAGAGCATCTACTTCTGGGACTTCCGGTTAGGCCATTAGGGGATCTTTGACCTCACTTCTGGCCGGCAGAGCAGGGAGCAGCAGAATGCCGCGGATGACTCATCTCTGGGAGCCCTGTGATCACCATTACCAGCAACCACATAACCACAGCAACCATCATCCAATCTATTGTTCTGGGGTGTTGTGGATTTCTAATTGACTATCATTACTGAGATAAGTGAGGGGGAGGCTGGGCAGGTTAGTTAAAGAATAACAGCACTCTGCACACAAGTTAATAATATCAAGACCAATAAAGGAAACCAACCGATGGATTAACAAAGAAGTCACTAAGCAGGTAAGTTAAATAATTAGGTTTTGGTTTATTAAATCCATTTATATATTACAATTATACATTTTTGTTATTTAAACTCTAAATATCGCAAATTTATGGGGGGTTTTCTTGAAGTGACACCCCACCCAAGTTATGCTGGGTTTTTGGCGAATTTTGACACACCAAGCTCAAAAAGTTGTCCATCACTGTTCTAGGATATTCATCATATATATGAATAAAATCTCTAGGTTCCACAGAACACTGGATGAAAGCAGGTAATAAGCAAGCAGGAACCTACTAACTCTTTTAAAAATAGGCAAAAGAGACTCAGACTAAATATGTGCCACAAACTAATATGTTCCATTGTAACAAAATCCAAGAAAATAGTGATGAACCAAAATAAAATGCTTAGAAAGGAAAAGTGTGTGTATGCTCTGACCAAAAAACCTTCACACATGCAAATAGGAGTTTATTTTTGTAAGATGACTAGAAGACGAAGAGGAGGAGTAGAAAAATAGAAACAAAAGGCTAAGTTATGGATGCTTTCAGATTTGCAATTTAGGGAGGGGAGCGGTGTGAAATTTGCATGAGAGTTGTGTGTTTTTAAATACCCTCCATGGTTCATTGGATAACAGGAACACTGACAAATATGCAAATCTGGCCTGCCCTAAAGACAATGAAACAGACATGTAGTCAATGGTTACTGTCATTGAGTTCTTTGCATGACATGCAGACAAGCTTAGAGAACATTGATTGTTCTATAGACTCCTGCAACTGGAGAGAACAACCAGTCGGCTTACACCAAGACACATTTTTCACTCCTGACGTTTTGATAAAGGCTTATTGACCTAAATGAGACCCGTGTTATTCAGGAAACATCAGAGGTGAAAGTGCACAAGCTGTTCTTCATGGCCATACACAAAAATGCCAGGTATCCATTAGCAACTAGCAAATTCCCCCTCCCCTGCCCGTGGCTGGTTGACGGACAAAAGTGTTTTTTAATATCTTGCCTTGTATAAACCTAATAAGTAATGGGGGGAGAAGGGGGATTGATTGATTTTTGTCACTACATTTAGACACAGCTGCCAGAGCAGTTGCAGACAGGCAAAAGGCTATGCTATTTACATTTAAAATAAGTTGGAGGAGTCATTAGAAAGGCAAACAAACAAGTCCTCATGAACTACTTCAATATACCCTGTCTAGTACCATTCCCAGTGAGCTAGTTTTGATCATTCTGTTGCTAAAAAGTTTGCAAAAAATAGCTAGAAAACAGTTTAAAGATCTCTTTTGACTTCTGCCACTGCAATATGGGAACAGAAGCCTTACCAGAAGCTAAGTAATAAAAACCCATTTCACCTTGAATGAATTTCTGGCATAGTCCTTCATTCAATTATCTAATGGAGTGAAGCAAAAATCCTAAAAAAAAACTCTCTGGACTGTCTGATCAGTGGGATCTTAAACATACCTATTAGGGAGGAAGCCTTACAGTAAGATTTCCTTGAAAGTAAGCAAAAGCTGGAAGCCTAGTGGATATGGGAAAGGATGCAAGGAAAAGAGAAGCATTAATATGGGCAAAAGACAAAAGGAAGAGTGGTGACTGTACTAATTAAGTCTAACCAATTATACTGTCAGTATAATACATAGCTTGGGTATTCACTATGTACTATATTCCCATAGTCTACCAACAAAAGGAAACAAAATGCAAAAACTTAGAAAAAGAGGAAGAAATGCTTCTTTACTGTACATAAATCCATCTCTAGTTTCCCTTTTCAATATTTATTCATTTTAGCAGCTTAATTCATGCATATGTTCAGGAAATGAATTGTGATAGAAGCTTTCATGGCCTGGAATGCATTGTAGCAGGATATATATATATATATATATATATATATATATATATATATATATATATATAACACAAAATAATACTTTATACCAAACAGCGAATTACAGTTCACAAAAACCTTGTAGTAACAAACTTTATACATTTGTTAATCTATAAGCCTTACTCAGGAAATGATGTTTATAGTGGTGTTTATAGTGAGGTATAATAAAAACCACCAAAATATAATGCAAAGTTTGATTGAATCATATCAATGAGCCTTCAGAGAAAACCATTAATATCACCATAATCCAGGTTTATGTTCCAACAACAGAAATAAATAATAAGCAACTGAAATGCAAAAAGGGGGAAATAAATGCAAATTGGATTGTAGGAAAAGTTGGCTTTGGATCAAGAACTGAGGCAGGTGACTAACTGGCTACATTTTGTGAAGCCATTTTTTCATTGCAAATACATTATTCAAACAACTCAGTAAACCAGTAATTCTCAACCTGTGGGTCCCCAGATATTTTGGCCTTCAATTCCCAGAAATACTAACTGGCTGGGATTTCTGGGAGGTGTAGGCCAAAACACCTGGGGACTCACAGGTTGAGAACAACTGCAACAAACAACTGTATACATGGATATCACCTGACCACCAATCTAGAAATCCAAAGACTACATAACTAGAAACAGCAAATGGAGAAGCTTAAATCTCTCTATAAAAACAAGATCTGGAAAAGATTTTATTACTGATCATGAACTACTAATAGTAAGAGTTAGAATAAATCTAAAAATCAGTCCTCATGTTGAAATATAATCTGAACAGTATCCCTGTAGAATTTAAAGACAATATTAAAAATAGACTAATAAGCCTAATTGGCTAGGAACCAGATGAACTCTGGACTGAAACCAGGAAAGTTGTCCTGGAGGAAAAGCAGAAAGATACTATCTTCAAACAAAAGGAAAGATAAGACTTAGTGGATGTCAAGTAAAGTTATTCAAGCAGAAGAGAAGCAAAAAATTGAAAAAGGAGTGTTCTTCAGGAAAAAAAAACTTCTATAGTAATCAATCCATAGAAATATAAGTTGATTACATAAAAAGAAGAAGACCTTTTCCACACAAACTGTGAAATCAAAGGAAAATTCAAACAAGAATAGGGATGCTCTAGAACAGTGTCCTCCAAATGGGCGTGCTATTTGATTGCCCTGATGCATCCTAACCTTTACTCCCAGCAAGAGTCAACTGTTAGGACAGAATATAGAGAATTGGAAAGGTTTCCAATTAGCAAGAAGATCAGGCAAGGCTGCATTTTATCACCTTGTCTGTTTAATCTGCATGTCAAATATATCATTCTTACTGCAGGCTTGAGAAAGGAATATCCATAATCTAAGACGACACTATAAAAATAGAAAAAAACCAAAGACTTGGAATAATTATTGAAGACAGTCAAGACAAAAATTGTTCAAGATTTTTCATACTTTGGCTCAAATATTAATCAGAGTGGAGAATGCTGTCAAGAAATCAGAATATGAAGGAACTAGACAAGA